GGAAATGGTGGCTTGGCCTATGGGAAATGGTTTCTTTTAGACTTGGATCCAAGGTTCAGTGTGCATTTTTTGGTGATTCATTTAGCGCTTCTAGGTTGGAGGCCATCGCTGTTAGGTTGGAGGCTATTCATTTTTGTTGGGGTTTTCGATGAAAAGAAGCGGCTCTCCACTTCAGAGGAGAGTTGCAGTCGGATTTTGCCAAAAAGAATTCAATATTACTTGGTTGGGAAACTTTGAATCTGAAACAAGAACACTTTGCTGTGGTCGGGCATGGAATCTGATCCGCAATATGGCAATATACTTGTGGAATCAGCAACAGAATAACAATTTTTGTTTGGAAGCAGTTCATATCCAACTGGAGGACAAATTGCCCCGTGGATCCAGCTGGTGGTAAATTCTCCCGGAAGGCTTTCCTGGAAAGGTGACATTCAATTTGGTAAAAAGTCAAAGATTATGGAGAAAACCACTCTGACCCTGACCATCCACTTTATTGTCTCACAACTTCTTTACCCCCATTTCCCAGGTGTGGGTGCCTCTCCGCTGTCTCAAAAAGAGGTTACAGGGTACCGGGTATAGAAATCCCAGGACGTGGACACTGAAAAAAGAAGGGAGCAAGAAGCTACGAACAAAGGGCATCGCTACGAACGGAGCAAGAAGCTACTAGGAGACCGATGAGGAACGGCAAAGGAAGCAGATCCCCTGCATGGCGGTTTTTTCGATGCACGAAGACTGAAGCAGTTCGTTTTCAAATGGCGGATACCGAAAGAGCCTTTCCTAAACAGCACCTGAGCTGTTTGAGCCTGTTTGCACGAAGCGAAGCAGTGCAAAACCCGTGGTTTCGGAGTGAGTGAGGTTGCGCTACGCATTTGTCGGTGTCTTTCTTCGCCCCACTGGGGTCGGAGGGAAGCGAACCACAGCGAGGCATTTACGGGGTCCGAATGGTTCCGTGGTTTTGTGTAGGAACAACATGTTCGCTACGAACGAGGCTCCTGGCCTTACTAATAGGAGCATTCTTGCTACTAGTAACAAGAAGCTGCTAGTTAAGCTGACAGAAAGAGGATCTTCTCCCTGCTCCGAAACTGCATGCAAGATTTTCGTTCAGCCGCTATAGACACCCGTGATTGAGTGGAGGTTCATCAAGATACGCCGGGTTTCTTCATGCGGGATGGACATCTCAAAAAAAAGAAAAAACTCTGTTGATGGGCTAGTGGATCCATCATCCATCCATCCAATCGATTGAAATCCATTGGAATTATGCACAGAATTGTCCATCATGATCCATCTTCCAGGGCTCCCGACACTTTGCTTTTTATTGAATGATTTGTCGCTCTGCCGGGTGCGATCGGCACTGGGGGCCTGGATTTGTCGCTTCGACCAGCAAGGATATGCAAGGATCAAGTGAACCAAATCCTCCCTATTTCGCACTGGGGAGCTAGAGCGAGTTTGTTAAGTAACGTCAGGTTCTGAAGCGTTTGCAGATGTTTGGAAGAAAACAAACGTGTGGGCTAAATCCCTGGATATTAGGTGAACCGACGACACGACGACCTGGCATTACAGCATGAACCGTTACTTTTTGAAAGGACTATTATTCTTGGTTTGGCACAAGTGATCGCAATCCAAGACTATCAATGCAATGACTTCGGAGCCGAAGGAAGCTGCAGGTCAACTGTGGAAGCTTCCCCTGCCGAGCGCTCTTTTTGTTGAGGTTTCCAGGGGAGTGGCTGCATGTTGATCGATCACGCTGGCTCTGCCTTCTGTATCAACAAACTTCCATGACCACCCCACAAGAAGCGGATTCACAGCTACCAGGCGCTGAAAGGTGTTGTTGACTCCCCTTGCCTACCCACAACCAGCACTCAGAGCCAGGCTTGCAGTGGACCAACCCACTGATCCAGCAGTCAGAGCCCCGCGCTCGCTTGAAAAGCTCTTGGTGGCCTCAAAAACTGCTTGTCCTTTTGGGGTGAGTATCAACCACAGGAGTGTGCCGAAGTGGCAGGCTTTGTGCCAATGGTGTAGACGAACTCATGGCGCAACATGTGGCCCAGCTTTTTGCGTGCCTTGGCAGAGGTGAAGGTGTGCGATCGGGTGCGTCAAAAAGCATTGAGAAATTCAGGTGTTTGGGTTCAATCCCTTCAGCAACCTGTCTACGAATATGATCCGGGTGTTGCGTGAAGAGGGTCGGTTCCGATCCAAAGGGCCTTTGTATTTTGTATCAACACGCCGTCCATCAATAGTCGGACACGGACCACCCATCATGAGCAGACGGTTTCACTATGCCAACTGGTGAAGGTGAACCATGTAGATCCAGGTTCCACGAAAGGTCACGTTATCTCAAGCAAGACAACCCTTTGGAAGTGATTGCCGTGAATGGCGCATTCCACACCAATTTGTAAGTCCCTAGCGTCATCCACAGGCATCACGTTCCTCAGCATTCAGATGCGAAATCCACCAATGTGTTGCTTCGTCATTGTTGAGATTCTTTGCATAGGGGGACGGGGGTTCAGGCTAGTGAAGGCCAAACGCAGAGGTATTCAAGGTTTGTTTTGATCCGTGGTAACTGAAGACCATTAGACGAGACCTTGTGGCCTAACAGCTATCACGTGATGTTGATTGGTATGATCCCTGTCGTCATCCAAGATGTCCAAGAGCTATATAGTGTTCTTTTCAATCTTTGATTGTAATTTGTTTGTATTATTTGTGTACCTCAATTAGGGTTTAGGGTAGGTTGAACGGGAAGGCCCCCCGCTCCACTTTCGTTTCGTTTCAGACCCTGACTTCGCCGAAGGGGACCTGTTCGCCCAAACCCTTTTCGCCGCGTGATCCGCCAAGCGCGGCACCGAGGCGGGATCCGCTGAATGTCTTTCGCGAACGTCTCGAGGTGGACAATGTGCCTTGGATGGAAAAGGTTCTGGAGGAGGAAGGAATGGATTCAAAGGGATTGATGGCAGAAAAGAACAGGACGTGAGGGCGATGAGGGGAGATATGATGACATTTGCAACATCGGCTCGTCTTTGGATGATTTTCGGGTGGATGCCGTTTGGGGATCCAACGGCAGGGTGATGGATGGACCAGGTAACGAAGGAAAGGCCGACCGGCGGTGTGTGGGCAGAGAGACACAGCAGGAAGACAGACAATAGCACACGACAGGACAGATTGAAATGATTGAAGGTCCACATGGAAGACAGCTACATTGTGGGTGATACGGCTAGCGCTGCATGCTGTGGTCCTGTAGAACAACAACAGCGCTTCAGCCGTTGATCAGAGCTACCGATTTTGTGCGTTTTGGCATTGGACACCTTCGAAGGGTCATCACCTGAGCCATTCGAAGAAGGGGCATGACTCCGGGATGACCCTGTGAATTCAGTGGTAGTCCTGCTCAACGCGATGGGTCAGGCAGCGTCAGGCAGAAACTGCGCTCAGACGGAGGAAACCAACGCTCGACGGACGAAATCCGCCAAATCCGCCAAGCAGAGTCAAGTGCTCCGGCACTGTGAGGCGTTTTTGGGCTACTAGGAGCAAAGACGCTTCTAGGGGCTCCTGGCCTTACTACTAGGAGCAAGAAGCTACTAGGAGCGAAGGGCATCGCTACTAGGAGCAAGGACGCTTCTAGGGGCGTGATTTCAGTCGGCCTTTGTGGATTTTTTGTGGTGATGAGTCACAGTCGTGGCTTTGTTCGAGTCACAATGGCAACATCTGGAACCCCAGGAACCAAGAGGGGATCGCTACTCCCACGACATCGCTACTCCGGCACCCAAAGTGACCTCAGCGATGGGACGACTCTGCCCAGTTGGCTCGTCCCAGTTGGAGACGCCACGAGGACATGTCACCAGGTCGTTCATGTCTCAACATGTCTCAACATGTCTCCATTTTGGTGTCAAATGTATGGAAACACTTGTGTTTACTTCCATTTTAAGACCAACCTGCTGTATGAACGTGTGTCAAAGGTACTGCTTTGTTTTTCTTTTCTCCAATCTTCGTGTTTCCTTCCGTCGCGCCAAAAAAAAGGGCCGCCGTATCGAGCGAGCACGGATCGAGCGAGGCGCTGGTGGGAGACCATTGGGAACAACTTCAATCATCGATCCTGGGCACTGACCGTTTCGACGCTTTCTTCGTCGGTTTGGCCATTGGAACAGGGCGGTCGGTTGGGGTGGGGAGCGCGAGTGCGTGGTTTTGGCGCTGTGTGTTTCATATGTTTGTTGCGGTGCTCCGGAATGCCTGCTTTGCGCTGTTGGAGCTTGAAGAATCGGTAACTAGGGAGGGCCTAGAGGGCGAAGAATGGGGGAGATGTCAACAAGAGATGGACCTTTTGCAAGAGAGAAGCGATGGCCTCCAACCTACGTAGTAGGGATGGCCTCCACTTCGTATGTTCACAAAGGTCTTCTTTAAAAACATTATCCGGGTGGGTTTTTGGGAGTTTTTTTTCCAGCTTCAAAGCAGGGGTTGGGACGCTTGGGATTCTCAAGCCCAGGAATTGGGGCACCGTCCGCTTCAAGCCGCCTCCAGCCCCTGGGAGGAACCGACCGACCGATGGATCTCGCGAGGGGGTGGGCCATGAGAGGGTCACATCTCGGTGTCATCGTTCGTGTCCATTGACCACACGGCTTCGGGTGGTTGAAGTCGGGTGTTTTCTGGGGCGGCATATGAGTTTTTCCAGTGTCAGGTCCAGGTCGTGCCTGGGTTTGTCTCGTTTTGGTCCCCAGGATCACCATGACGGTATGAGCCGCGAACAGACCGCCGCCTTATTGGACCCACAGCACAAGTGGCTTGCGAATCATTCGAGGCTGTAGGGACTGGAGGGAATTAAGGTCCACCTGAAGGTTGATGGGGTGTTTGTGGCTGAGTTGTTGCCAAATGAGCCGACCAGCAGTGTGGGTTGCTGGAGGAATATCACATTCACTGGGCCTCCCGCTGAGCTATCCAGGGTCTGTACCCAAGGCAGGTCCCCAAGTAAGTTTTAACAGATTTCCTCACAGATAGATAGGATGTGTCTAAAGAAGCAACACCCAGGATCTCATAGGTTCTAATCTTGTTGTATCTTTTTGTCCTGTTGCCTGTAGGCTTGGAGTATTACCCCATGTTCCAAACAATTCCAATATAGTTTAACTATAGTAATTACAAATTTAATATTATGGCCATTTCCCTGCATCTGGGTCCTATCATTTCACATCTGGGTC